GTGAAGGCAAAAGTTGTGATAATCATAAAAAAATTGGAAAGTGGAAAGTAAGTGCCTGTTGTGAGATTGGGAGTGGGACTAGCAGTGACCAAGAGGTGAGGTAACTTGTACTAACTATAAAACTCTAGAAAAGCTCTTGAAACAGGAGGCACCAAGCATCTTTCAAGACCAGATACAGATAGGAGCTAAATATGGGAGATTTGGGCGAAAATCAATTTAAGAAGCTTTCAGACCTGCTGTACTCCAACAGAAGACAGGTGATATATTTTCCAGAGTAGTTGAATGTCAGGGACTCTGGACTTGGAGACACTGAGTCCACATGAGAACAAAGATGCATGTTTTTCAGTATGTTTTCAAGAGGATTAATTGTAAATGTATATATACTGATCACTGAGACTTCCAGCTCCCTTCCTGTAGTAGCCAGACTTATTTCCCATCCATAATCCCACCTAGCCCCAGTCCTCCAAACAGAACAGTCCTCTCCTTGGAAAACCTGCACAAGAGAAAAGAACTGGAGATATGGTGGTAGGGAAGATGACCCTATCTCATTAACCAGACCTCTGTTCATTTACTCTGTAGTGAAACCTACAACTTGACAAACTCAGTCCATGAACACAGAACATCAGTTTTTTGTTTTTTTGTGTTTTTTTAGTACTTCACTGTCAAATATAAATGGTCAGTCAAGATCACCAGACATTTGAGGAAAACAGACCAATGCAAACAGAAAAAGCAAACTGGGAATACAAAATCAGGAGCAAAAGAACACTTCAAAACAAATAATTCACTACTCACACAGATAAGAGATGTTGCATTCTGTGAGACAGTAACAGTAGCCTATAAAAAAGGAAAATTCAGAGAAAAAATTTTTCAGAAAATTTTTCAGAAATTTAAAACCAGCAGGATAGCCCTAGCTGGTGTAGCTCAGTGGATTGAGTGCCAGCCTGTGAACTGAAAGGTCGACAGTTTGATTCCCAGTCAGGGCATATGCCTGGGTTGCGGGCCAGGTCCCCATTTGGGGCTGTGCAAGAGGCAACCAATTGATATATCTCTCTCACATCAATATTTCTTTCCATTTTTCTCCCTTCCCCTCTCTCTAAAAATAAATAAATAAAATCTTTTTTCAAAAAAGGACATGGAATGCAGGAAATAATCCATTTTAGAAAAGAGGAATTTCTAAGATGAGGGTTAAGTTTTATTTCAACAAATATCCATGCAGGAGGACTAGAAAGTGGCATCCATTCTAGAATGGAACAAGAGGGAAAAGAGCCCTAGGAGAGATCTCCTCCTAAGGAAATAATTGAAATTGATAGAATAGTTTGGAGATGAATTTGTGATAGACACAGAAGAAAAAGAGCAAATAAAAAAAGAGTTATTAGCTCCAGAAAATTATATGTTGTACAAGAAAGGTATTTAATCATTGTTCTCTACTGACGCTGCTGTGAATATTTACAAACTTAAGTAAAAAGCCAAAAATTATTTAAACAAAACTGTGAAATAATATTGAGAGCATGGGAGTCAGGCGGCAGAGAGAGGGCAGGAGAGATTTGTGACTAAAAGATATAATACCAAATAAAACAGAAAAGTGAAAGTGATTGTCTGTGGGGAGCAAGAATTAGGTTTAGGTTAGAGTGGGCCAGAATATTTATTATCATCATAAATATTGAAAAACTATTTTAAATATATAAGAAATATAAACATACATATACACGTATATATTATCAAGTTATTTTTAATGTTTATTTTGAAACTTGAGATTTTTAGACATCAGCCCTTGCTAGGGTGGCTCAGTGGGTTAAGTGCTGGCCTGTGAACTGAGAAGTCTCCATTTCGATTCCCTGTCAGGGCACATACCTGGGTTGCAGGCCAGGTCCCTGGTTTGGGGCATGCGAGAAGCAACTGATGGATGTTTCTCTCTCACATCAGTGTTTCTCTCCCTCTTTTTCCCTCCCTTCGTCTCTCTCTAAAAAATAAATAAAATCTAAAAAACGCCCTGGCTGGTGTGGCTCAGTGGATCAAGTGCCAGACTGAGAGGCAAAGGGTCACTGGTTCGATTCCCAGTCAGGGCACATGCCTGGGTTGCAGGCCAGGTACCCAGTGGGGGGCGCACAAGAGTCAACTACACATTGATGTTTCTTTCCCTCTCTCCCTCCTTTACCCTCTCTCTAAAAATAAATAAATAAAATCTTTTTAAAAATCCTTTTAAAAAAGTTTAGAAGTCATTTAAAGGAATCTTTCTTCTATCTGAAAATTTCTATTATGTGAAATAACCCTTTCCCCAGTAATGCCAGATAAATAAGGTGGCAATAGTTTAAAAATACATGAGAGGAGTGTTTTTTTCCCAAAGTAATAGATAAAAGATGAGTTCCTGAAGGAAGATGATAGACTCTCTTCAGTTATTCTGAATAAGATTTGGAGTAGACTGTTAATATCTTTTAAGATTTCATGTTTTCTTTTAAAAAATACCTTTATTTCCTTAGTTATAAAATTAACATGGCATTGAATAAAAATTTTTAGTAGAAAGTACAAAGAATGAAAATAAAACCATCAATAATCCTACTCACCCAGAGGTTGACTTATTTGGACTAATTCATTTCCATCCCCTGCTTCCTTCCTCCCTCCCTCCCTCCCTCTACTCCTCTTCCTTTTCCTTCCCTTCCCTTCTTCCGGTCCTTCCTTCCTTCCTTCCTTCCTTCCTTCCTTCCTTCCTTCCTTCCTTCCTTCCTTCCTTCCTTCTCTCTCTCTCTTTTTTCCTTTCTTTTCTTGTTTTATGACTTTCTTTCTCTTTCTCTCCCTTCCTAATTTTTTTTAAAATAAGAAATGTGGTATGTCTTTTGCTAGTGGTTAACCATAGGAGCTGTGGATTTGATGAGGAAAGAAATGAATAGAAAAGAGAAAAAAAGAGGAAATACAAAATAAAGGGGGACAGAAAGATGTATAATGGAATAAAACAAGAACTCTATTTACTGTCTCTAAAACAAAGTCAAATATAATAGTCCCCTCTTAGCCAAGGTTTCACTTTCCACAGTTTGTGGTCAACCATGATCTAAAAATATTAAGTGGAAAATTGCAGAAACAATTCATTAGTTTTAAATTGTGCACCATTCTGAGTAGTGTGTTGAAATCTCTCACTGTTCTGCTTCATGCCTCCCTGGACATGAGTCATCTCTCTTTGTCCAGCCTATCCACGCTGTATATGCCAGCTACCCATTAGTCATTTAGTAGCCATCTCAGTTATATGATTGACTGTCATGGTATCACAGTGCTTGAGTTCAGGTAACCCTTATTTTACATAATAATGTCTCATTTACCTCACTTCATCACGTAGGCATTTTATCATCTCCCATCGTCACAACAAGAAGGGAGAGTACAGTATAATAAGATGTTACATGAGAAAGAGAGACCACATCACACATAACTGTCATTATATATTGTTATAATTGTTATATTTTATTACTAGTCGTTGTTAATCTCTTACTGTGCCTAATTTATAAATTATCACAGGTATGTGTAGGAAAATATATAACATATGTAGAGTTTGTTACTATCCATGGTTTAAGGCATCTACTGAGAGTCTTGGAACATGTAAGCCACAGATAAGGGGGACTTCTATATGCTATTGCATTGGCCAAAAAGGTTGCTTATTTTTTTCCCTTAAGATGGCTCTAGTAACATTTATTTGTCTTTAACTTCATTTGAAACAATTTGGTTAGATTGTATTGTGACAGCTGTCATATGAGTATGCATTTTATTATTTTTCCTTTTTAAAAAAATTTTTAAAAATGTATTTATTTTTAGACAGAAGGGAAGAGAGGAAGAAAGAGAGGAGAGAAACATCATTGCATGGCTGCCTCTTGCGTGCCCCTACTGGGGACCTGATCTGCAACCCAGGCATGTGCCCTAAACTAGGAATCAAACCAGCGACCCTTGGGTTCACAGGCCAGTGCTCAATCCACTGAGCCACACCAGCCAGTGCTGAATATGCATTTAAAAAAAAAAACAAACCCAAAACTTAGCAGCACTGTTCTGGGAACCAAAATGTTGCTGATTTGATTCCCAGTCAGGGCACATGCCTGGGTTGCAAGCCAGGTCCCTGGTTTGGGGATAAGTGAGAGGCAACCAACTGATCAGTATTTCTCTCCCACTCTTTCTCCCTTCCTTCCCCTCTCTCCAAATGTAAATAAATAAAATCTTTTTAAAAACTTATCAAATTGGTGAACTTTTGTGTAACCATTTTAATATTGAAGATGGAAGAAAATATGCAACATTTTTGGCATATTATGCTTTATTATTTCAAGAGAGCTAAAAACACAACTGAAGTGCAAAAAAAACGATTTGTTCAGTGTGTGGAGAAGGTGCTGAGACTGATTGAATGTCAAAAGTGGTTGCAAAATTTTGTGCTAGAGATTTCTTGCTGGATGATGCTCCATGGTCGGGTAGACCAGTTGAAGTTGCTGGCAATCAAAACGAGACATTAATTGAGAACAATCAATGTTATACCACACAGGAGATAGCCAACATACAAAATATCCAAATCTAAAAAGTTCTTGGGGAAAATGAAAAATGTGTATTTTATTTCATGGAAGGAACCATACAGACTTTTTGGCTAACCCAATAAATAAAGAATAGTCAGGGTCAGGCCCTTCTTGTCTAGATTGTGAAATGAGACCATCATGTAAACAGTAAACCTTTTTCCCAATGTCTTTGGTGGGCAGTCCTATATCCAGGTCTACGATGCTACTGGGAGGGAGGAAACGGTTATTACTTTTTAACAGACAACTGTGACTGGGAATCACTGACAGCAAAGAGATTCTGGTATGTAGGGTACTTTGTGAAACAGTACCCCCATCCCAAGTTTTGCAGATACCAGGTCCTGAAAGAGATTAAAGTTATAGAAAGCAACTTTAAGCTCATTGTTAGAAGAGTATCTTATTGAAAAGAAGGATTTCATTTAGGTCCATATGCTTCTTGTCAGCCTCAAATGTAATTTTTTTCTGTTCTAGTGTTCCTAGAATCCCATGGGCCTTTGCCATGACAGAAGTATGTGGTGTGATTCTGTGCTACATTTGGATCCTGGTTCTTCTTCTTCACAAGCACAGGTACTTCACTTAACTCCATTAAAACACTACAAGTGTTTTTGACTGTCTTGTGTTAAAGTCATTAAATCTGTTTCTCTCTTTGTGGTTTCCTTGTTAATTTCCTTCTCTAGCCATTGTGACATTATAGTTATTGACATAGGAAAATGTTTTGGCATTGATCAACAAAAGAGCCAGCTGGAGGTAATATCTACATATTTCAAAATATTCTGAAAATATCTTGCAGGTAAACATCAGAGATATTCAAACCTGGGCCAACCATTGACAATTTAGTTGTTAATCTTTTCTTTGGAAACAAATAAAAAATGTCACTTCTGTAGAAGGATAGAAACTCCTCCAAGGACAGTCTTTCGTCTAATGTTTGGATGGAAGAAATGGTTCTGTGCTTGGAGGAGGCCTATTTAAAAAGAGATTATTTTGTACAAATCGTGCATGCCTAGTCAGTGTGGATTACTTTAGATGGTAGAGGAAATTGTTGAGTAGGAAAAATGTTTCTTTAGAACTTTCACCCAGAAATATAAAGGGAAGGACTTTTTTCTCATTAAAAAAAGAAGAGAAGGATAAGGGGAGGCTCCTATCCTGCCTTAAGGAGGGGAAATTACTTGATTTAAGTAAAAAATAAGGCATAGTGAGCAAAAAAAGAACTAGAAAGTATGTGTATCTGGTGTTTTTGTCTTTGGACACTGAAGAGGAATAGGCACACTTTCTTGAATTCGTGACCCTTTCTTCTCACTAGGGAGTGCTTGAGGTAAACCACAGTGATGGGCTTTAGGTCCTGAGCAGCAGTTATTTCAGTGCTTTAAAAGTGAAAATAAAGGTTGATGATTCCTATTCATGTCACACTTTTAGGCCATATTGCACTTCATTTTGTCCCATTTCTTAGCAATATTGCTTAAAACCAGAGGTTGTTTAAAAAGATGTGTATCTGCCCTGGCTGGTGTGGCTCAGTGGATTGAGTGCCAGCCTGTGAACTGAAAGGTCGCCAGTTTGATTCCCAGTCAGGGCACAAGCCTGGGTTGTGGGCCAGGTCCACGGTTAGAGGCGTGTAAGAGGCAACTGACCAATGTATCTTTCACACATTGATATTTCTCTCCCTCTCTTTCTACCTCCCTTGCCCTCTCTCTAAAAGTAAATAAATAACATCTTTAAAAACAAAACACCTGTATTCCTGAAGCTTTTTGGTGTAACTTTGTCTTCCAGGGCCTTGTGGATTTGAATATGTCCACTCTTCAAAACAAGAGTTTACTTTATAGGAAACCTTTGTAGATTTAGCAAAGCATAGAGTGGCCATTTAAATGCAAATTTTGATGTTTAGTCAGAGAAGGTGTTTCTCAAAATGTAATCTTTTGCACCACTTCCATTAGAATCACATGGCTCTTGTTAAAATCCAGAATCCTGGGCTCCATCCTAGATGTACACACTGAAGTTTGAAACATACCTAATCTTGTGTTCAGTGCTCTTTTTAGGGTGGGAATAGCATTTTGAGAAAGTATAAAGCATTGTCCCTGAACTGAAGAATCTTATAGTCTGTTTTGGTTTAAGACATTAAAAATAATAATAATAATAATAATAATAATAATAATAAAACAGTGCAATCAATGTCGCAATGCACTTTAAATTTTTTGTTAGAGATATACTTAATATAAAACTTAATATTTTTTAAAATATTAAATGCTACAATATTACAATGCTATTAATGAGCAAAAAATTTCGTAGAACCACATGTTCAACTTTTCCTCTCATTAAATAAATAATTTATGAGCAATATATGAATAGGACTAACACTAAGCTAAGAGTCAAGCTAGGTGCTAGTCTTTTCTTTTACATAACTCTTTTGCTTTTTCTTAGCCATATTTTCTTATCAATGAAATGATAGTCTTAAGTCTGCACTGTCCAACATGGCAGGTGGTAGCCACATGTGGCCATTTAAATTTACATTAGTGAAAATGAAATAAAATTAATATTCAGTTCCTCATGTTTCAAGTGCTCAAGAGCCCCATGTAGATAACTTGTTGGACACTGCAGTTATAGGACATTTTCATCATTGCAGAAAGTTCTTCTGGACAGTGATAGTCTCTAAGATTTCTGTACTCTTCTAGGAGTCTTAACAGTTTTCCTGCTTGCTCTCCCTTTAAGGAAACATTTGATGTCTGGGTTTTGGTTTGTTTTTTCCTGATCTTTCTCCCTTTTTGGTCACTCTGTTCACAGGTCAATACTTCTGCGAAGGCTCTGTAGTCTGATGGGCACTGTATTCTTGCTTCGCTGCTTTACCATGTTTGTGACCTCCCTCTCCGTGCCAGGACAGCACCTGCAGTGTACTGGAAAGGTAGCCTGCTACCTTCTTTATCTTTCTTTCCTCTTGTTCTTGGTGGGTCGATGGCACCATATATGCAGTAAGACTAAGATTTTGCTTTTACTATTAAAATGTGCTTTCTAGTATTTTCAATATCTGTAATAAACCTTTAGAAATATTCCTTTGGTAAAAATGTTAAGCCAGAATCTACCTGACTGTTACTTCTACCATTGATACACTGTAGAGCTGTAGGAAAAAAAGTTTCTTTAACTCAACCATTTTCTCTTTCTTACTATCCTCAGCATCTTTAGTTCTTCATATAACATGACTGGTCCCCTCACTGTCCTCATCATTCCTTTTTTAAAAAGTGTTGCAGTTTGATCATATTCCATTGAAAATATGGTACCCACTACTCTAAACTTTATCTTTCTGGGATATACTAAATATTGGCTGAGTTTTTGTTTTTGTTTTATACTTTGTAGCTTATTTTGGTATAATGTAGATATCTCTTCTGGTTAAATTTAGAGAGAAGAGATTATGTAGATGGGAACAAAAAATCTGGGTAATGAGTAGCTTTAAAAAAAATACCCTGAAAATCACCTGTACTTTATATACAAAATTGGCTGTTGTGACTTGTTAAATTTGGACAAAAGAATTTATTATCCTTTTCTAAGCCTCCATGCTTTAGTTGTGTTCCCATATATTCAAATGCGTATTTTAACACCTTTGTTATTTTAATGTTGTTTGTAAAGTATAAAACAAAATTAAGTGTCATTTCTTCTACTGAAATATAACTAGCTGAAATGCCAGGAAGGGAAGATTAAGCAGCCAAAGGATATCCAAAGCTAAAAATATAGCTCTGAGCTAAAGGGTGACAAAACTTTCATCTGGTATTAGGAGACTGACTAGTAAGAAAGGTGGAAGTGAAACAGGAAAAGTTGGCATTCATGCTGCCTGTCACTACCAGAACCAATAAGTAGAGACAAGGATTGAATTTTTGTCTCTACTTATTCTACAAAGATGGGTGCTTTATTCAGATGGCCAGCAATCTGAGAAGACAGCAGGTTTTGTACCCTAAAACTGTCTAAAATTTCATCTCAAGCCAACCTTTTTTTTTTTTTTTTAAGATTTTATTTATTTATTTTTAGAGAGAGGGCAAGGGAGGGAGAAAGAGAGGAAGAGAAACATCAGTATGTGAGAGAAATATCAATTGGTCACTTCTCACATGCCCCCAACTGGGAACCTGGCCTGCAACCCAGTCATGTGCCCTGACCGGAAATCGAACAGGCAACCTTTTAGTCCACAGGCCAGCACTCAGGTCAACCTTTTTTGTGAGAAGAAAAGTGTAGATAGGGGGTTTGGGATTCAAGGAAAAGGTTAATCAGATAAAAGCTGCAGTCCCTGCAATTTTCCTAACACCCTTTCATCTGTTGACCAGTGATTCTGTATCTGTGTCCTGGGCTGCTGACATCACTCCCTGGAGCACAGTGGCTCAGATACCATCTTAATTGCTTGCACCCTTCTGGGGCACAAAGGTCTAACTGCTGGTGGGTCTCCTGGAATCAGGGTGGGTCCAGTTATACATTCCAATTCCTGGAACAATAGCTTTTTACATGCATTAATCACTAAGCTTATTAACTATAACTTAAAACTAAAAATTTTCTAACTCTTGAGATCCCCCATCGTTCCCCCACTGTCAGTTTAAATTATCTTATTTCTAGGAGATCAGTTTCATATGGACATAATCATTTTGCTGTTGATCATGTATCTTAGCATTAGAAAGTCTGGTAGGGGGTTTAGGAATACACTTAATTGCAGATCCCAAAAAGGGGGCACACTGTATGCAACAAGAAGCTATGATAATGAAAAAGATAAAAAGCATGAAAACAACAAATGCCTCTGTAAGACCAGTAATACTAGGCAGCCAGGAGGTTAGTTTAGATAAATCAGTACCAAAGAATCCCCCTCTTTGTTTTATCTTGGACACCACTTCATTTACTTGCTTTATGCTCTGTGAGCTGTGAGTCATCAGTCAGGTTGAAACAGCAGCATCCTTTAAATTCTCCACATCCATGATTATGTCTTAAAAGGAGGTAGTTTATAGCTGCGTAATTTTCTAATACCGCTTCTCTAACTTGTCCTAGTTCTTGACTGATGACACTAATGTCTTGGGGGATGGCATTCAAAGCTTTTACCATAGCATAGGCTAATCAACTTATTTCTGTATTCAAAGAGGTTACCATGACTGGCATTACAAATATAGTCAAAGATATACATGCAGTGGGGCTAAAAATGTACAAATCACTGTTGTAGTCAGGTGAAAGGGAGGGTTCCCATTGAGCCTGGGGGAGGTCTCCTAGGGCAACACCCTGCTTCTCATGAACATATAATTGAAAGGGCTTTAGCAGGTTTGGAAGCCCCAAGACTGGTGGGGAAGCCAGGTGCATCTTCAGGAATTCAAAAGCCTGAGTGCACTCCTGCATTCATTTCATAAGGCTATATTATGGTCCTTTCAGAACTTCATACAATTAACGATTTAGCAATCAGCCCAAATTTTGGAATCCAAATGCAGCAGTAGCCCACCATTCCCAGGAATCCTTTTAGCTATTTCCTGGTATCGGAAACTCATTTGAATTATGGCTTCTTTTTTGTTTCCAGTAAGACTCCTTTTGCCAGGTTCAAGCAGGATCCTAGAAAACCTTACTGCTTGTTGGCAGTCTGGGCCTTCTGTACTGATACTTTATTGCCACAAGATGCCAGGTGGTTGAAGGTAGCTATAGTATTAGATAACAGGCATGCTGAGACAAAGAAATATGGCCCAATTGAAAGAACAGTTCAAAGCTCCAAAAATAGAACTAAGCGATGAAGAGATAGCCAACCTATCAGATGTGCGGTTCAAAACAATTAGGATGCTCACAGAATTGGTTGAGTATGGTTGCAAAATGGAGGAAGAAGTGAAGGCTATACAAAGTGATATAAGGAAAACTATAAGGGAAACCAACAGTAAAGGGAAGGAAATTGGGACTCAAATCAACAACTTGGAGCAGAAGAAAGAGATAAACATTCAACCAGAACAGAATGAAGAAATCAAGAATTCAAAAAAAAAAAAAAAAATGAGAAGAGGCTTAGGAACTCTCAGACAACTTTAAATGTTCCAACATCCGAATCTTAGAGGTGCCAGAAGGAGACGAGGAAGAGTAAGAAATTGAAAACTTATCTGAAAAAATAATGAAGGAGAACTTCCCCAATCTGGTGAAGGAAATAGACTTCCAGGAGATCCAGGAAGCTCAGAGAGTCCCAAAGAAGTTGGACCCAAGGAAGCACACACTAAGGCACATCATAATGACATTACCCAAGATTAAAGATAAGGAGAGAATCTTAAAAGCAGCAAGAGAAAAGGAGACAGTTGTGTACAAAGGAGTTCCCATAAGACTGTTAGCTGATTTCTCAAAACAAACCTTGCAGGCAAGAAGGGGCTGGCAAGAAGTATTCCAAGTCATGAAAGACAATGACCTACATCCAAAATTACTTTATCCAGCAAAGCTATCACCTAGAACGAAAGGGCAGAGAACTTGCTTCCCAGATAAGGTAAAATTAAAGGAGTCCATCAAGCCCTTATTATATGAAATGTTAAAGGGTCTTATATGAATAGTAAAATGAACACAAACTCACAACAATCAACTGAACCTAAAAAACCAAACAAAAACAAACTAAGCAAACAACTAAGGAACAGAATCACAGAAATGGAGATTAGAGGGGGGAGGGGAGAGAGGAGGGGAAAAGGTTTAGGGAATAAGAAACATAAATAGTAGGTACAAAATAGACAGTGGGAGGTTAAGAATAGTATAGGAAATGGAGAAGCCAAAGAACTTGTATGTACAGCCCATGAGCATGAACTAAGGGTGGGGAATGCTGTTGGGGGCGGGGCAGAGGTGCAGGGCAGAGGAGGAGAATAAAGGGGAGGACAAAAATGGGACAACTATAATAGCATAATCAATAAAATATTTTTTTAAAAAAAGTAGCTATAGTATTAGTTCTAGGAGAGGAAGGCCATTCTTATTAGGGTCCCAGTCTGGCTTGCTTAAAAGTATTGCCTTAGTAGCCTCAAGAGCCCCATCCAGATCTTCTTGGTACTGTCTCCGAGCCTCTTTGTTTGCCTTATCCAATACCAGTCTCTGCCTATCCCTCTGTAAGAAAAATATTTCATATGGCTTTTATGTCTGCCCAGTTGGTTTGGTGGGTAGCAAAACTGATGCAACTAAGTCAGCCATTTTAGTAGGATCATCCCTATAAGGACAATTTGAGCTTTTCCAGTTTAACAGATCCAATGTAGAATATGCAGTATGTGCCCAATAATATCCAAAGGGCTACTCTCACTGGAGTCTTTGCAAAGGGTAATGCCCTGCCCCAGTAGGGGCTTGTCTTCCACTAAATTCCTGACATGTTGAGGACAGAGAGACCAGTTCAGGTTCACCTCCTCCATCTCCCTTAGCTGAGTTAAAAGAAAGATCCCCCAGGGCTGGAGGGGCCATGGGAACCTTGACTATGCTTGCAACAGACATACTTTTATCTTCCTGGTCCCTCTCTTGGGAGTTTCTGCCATCTGCCCCAGGCAAATTACCTTTTCTCTGAACCATTGATCTATTTCCTTTTAATCCTGCATCTTAATTATGTAAAATTATTAAAGCTTATACATAGGCCTTTCATCCCACTTCCCTGATATTTGACAAAACAACTATAATTGCAGTATAATATAGTAATTTAAAGACCTGGTCAGCAGCCAGCATTCTTGAGTCCAGATTATACATAAAAAATCAGTATTACAATAAAAAAATCATTTTCTTTTTAGTCATAGACTTGTAAGCATAGGTCGACCAATCAGCCAGAACTCTCCCCAAAGGGTTGTTTCCTGGAATGGAGGCTCTTTCCCCCATTCTACCAGGTAGAGCTCTGTAATATTACACAAACCAAATCAGAACACACCTTAATTCCTATCAACCCATCTAAGTCATGACCTGGGAATGTAACCAGAAAGCACAGCGATTCAATCAAAAAGTGAAGGCTACAGGGAATCCCGAGGTCAGAGAAGAAGAGTTCCCAAGTAAAATCACTTGGGAGCTGCCAGGGAGTCTCCAAATCTACATCTAGGGACCCCCCAGCCGAGGCAGCCAATGGGACTACCTGCCAAATATCTAGACTTACCAGAGAGTCCCAAAGTCTGTCCCTGCAGAGTAGCCAGAATATGAAACCGGAAAAGTTGGCATTCATGCTTCCCATCACTACCAGAACCAGTTAGAGACAAGGATTGAATCTTTATGGGAGCTTTATTCAAATGGCCGGTGATCTGAGAAGACAGCGGGTTGTATACCCTAAAAGACCATCTTATGTGTCATCTTAAGCCAACCTTTTTTATAAGAAGAAGAGTGTAGTAAGGGTTTTGGAATGAAGGAAAAAGGTAGGTAAGGAGTTTGGAATTTAAGAAAAAGGTTGATCAGATAGAAGCTGCAGTCCTGGCAATTTTCCTAACACCCTTTCATCCGTTGACCCGTGATTCTGTATCCGTGTCTTGGGCTTTGGTCTGCTGACGTCTCTCCCTGGAGCACAGTGGCTCAGATACCATCTTAATTGCTTGCAGTCCTCCTAGGGCACAAAGGTCTAACTGCTGGTGGGTCTCCTGGAATCAGGGTGGGTCCAGTTATACATTCCAATTCCTGGAACAATAGCTTTTTACATGCATTAATCACTAAGCTTATTAACTATAACTTATAATTAAAAGTTATCTCCTTGGCCAATGTGTCTCAGTTGGTTGGGTGTTGTCCCATAAAGTGAAAGGTCACCAGTTTGATTCTCGATCAGGGCACATGCCTGGGTTGTAGGTTTGGTCTCTGGTTGGGGCACATACGAGAGGCAACCTATCAATGTTTCTCTCTCACATTAATGTTTCTTTTCCTCTCTTTCTCTCTCCCTTCCTCTCTTTCTAAAAATAAATAAATAAAACTTTAAAAAAAAACTAAAAATTTTTTCATCTCTTGTGTTCCCCCTTCAGAAGAGTTATATGACATTTAGGATTTAGTGTAAAGGAAATGTCTTATTTTTAAGGTAAAAGCTGTTTTTGTTTTCAAAAAGGGAAAGTAATTCTTTCTAACTATAATGTTATATAAGTTCATTACTATAAAAATTCAAATTTTATAGAAATTTATAAATTAGAAAGTAAAAGCTCACATAATTTCTTCTTCTTTCACTCTACTCCATAAATAATACTGTTAATAGTCATGTGTATAGTCATATCGACTGCTTTTAAGCATGATTATACATTCAAATAAGTTTATCTTGATACTTTTTTTAAACAAAAGATAGGATTGTATTGCAGACATAGTTTTTTTAGCTTATGTTTTATTTAACAGTAGGTTGTTTACTTTTCTGAAGAAATATGTATAGCTATACTTCATCTTTTCAGTAGCTGCAGAGTGTTCCATTATATGATTTAACAGTCTCCAAGTGATATACATTTAGGTTGTTTCTAAATCTTATGATTTATAAACAATGCTGTCATAAACATCCTTGTACTTACACATTTCTGCTTTCTTACTGTTTAATCACCTCATTAAGGTAAGTTTTTGGAAGTGGAATTATGAAATCAAAGAATACACGCATTAAAAATTGTGATGTGTATTCAAATATCTGCTAGAAAAGACTAGTTTTCACTATTACCAACACTGTATGCATATTGGTTTTTTCACCCCCATGCCAGCTCTACTTATTATCAGTCTTTTGAGTCACTGCTAGCCATTCTAATTAATGAAAGATGATATCTGAGACTTTTATAGTCCCATTTTATATTAAATCTTTAACCTATTGAATTTATTTTTCTACATGGTGTGAAATAGGGATAGAACAGTTTCCCCAAATAGTATGCCAGTTGATTAGAAGAGATTTAAAAGAAGGAAAATGTAAGATTATTACACTGAAAAGAGAATTCCTGTAACCAAAGAATTTAATTGTGGATCAGCCACTAAATATATGCGCATATGGCTACAACATATGCTATAAAAATAAATTAGATACCATCCCTCTACAGTCCTTTTTCTTTCTCTAATAACTGCTTTTTCACTAACAGTTATATATGGAGCTTTCTATTCAAATCTGCCCTAAATGCTGTTAATTGCTTTGGATTATAAGGTAACCTATTTATTGACCTATATTATTTGCAGCAGTCATTAAAAATAGAAAGTTAAAGTGATGATAACTGGCAATCAAATCCCTTACAGTGAACTCCATAGGACATTTTCATTGTAATAAATTAATTGCTTGAAATCTCATTCCCAGAAGCAGGAGGTTTGGGGACAGAATCAAAATCATGCCCATTTATTGAAATTAATCAATGGAAAGAAATACTTAAAGCAGATTTTTACATCTTGTCTTATCAAAGCATCTTATTTATCCTATTGTGTTGTTACAACTTTATTCTTCTGGAGGAATATTTGGAATATTTAAGATTGTAAGGAGTAGGGAGACTTGAGTAGTTAAGCAATAATTGCTTCTTTTCTTTGTTTTTTTTTTTTGGACCGGCATTGTTTCTTACCAGTGGCTGAGACTTTTTCCCAGCAGTCTCTGTTTTTCACTTTCTGATTTTTTTATTTTCATGAGAGCAGCATCTCTAACATATTCTCATTAGAGATCATGGAATAACCAAATTGTGTATTTAGTACCTTCTCTTTTCTTTTCTCTAATAATAAATTCTTCTTCCTCTCCTGCCCTCAACTAAAGCAGGAAGGAAAAGCTGGGTAATGTATAATCAACAGATGAATTTTCCAAAGAAATTGTCCTATCTAATGAGGATGTTTCATTTAACAAACAAGGGGGTCAGCCTACTTCACATGCAGCAGAGCCGAATACTGAACACTGAGTTTTGCAGTGGAGAAATTGAAGCCACTTATTGAAGTCGTGAGAATGAGACCCTATTGCTTTAAACGCAAGCCCCCCAGTGGTTTTTGATCAAGGCTTTTAAAGGCAAAGATTGAGGGTTAGAAATTAGGATCTAAAGGTGAAACTGATTGGTTAGTTCTTTTGCAAACTTCAGTAGTTTTCCCTAGTCTGATTAATTCAGTTCCTTACATCATCTTACTTGGTGACTTTATCACTGTGATTGGGTGATCTATCTGGTCAAGGAACCAAGATTCTGCAAAATATCTCATAATTGTATGTCAGTGACATCTTTAAAAAGCAGAAACTAAACATCTCAGGACCTTTGTTTTTGCTTAAGCTACCATTATTTTGTACTTAACTGCTACATTTTTCTATTATCTCAAGCAGAGTCTACTTTTAAACATTTTTTCTGGAACTAAAATGTTTAATTTTAACGTTCAACATTTATGGAAATGGACTTGCTTTATAGGCAGGCCATCAGGACATAACTAACATACTTTATAATCTTTGAGTATAAGTGACTAACATATTTTCATAAATTTTAACTTAAAGCTATGTGACAACAAAAGTGATTAAAACCTAAACCTGTGTCTCTAGACTCCGGTGTCATACCTAAACGTGTTAACTGTTCACTGCCTGTTTCAGTTTCTTTCATTCATTAGCCATAGTAGAATATTCAAGAAATAAGCGTTTGGAATTGGACTGCATGGGTTCATATCCTGGTTATGTTACCAGGTGTGTGACCGCTCTCAGCCAGCTCCCTCATCTACGCAACTGAATTACTTTATAAGATTGTTGTGGAAAGTCAATGCAATAACACATAAAGCACTTAGTAGCATGCCTTGCAATAGTAAATGCACATAAAGTTTTAGCATTTTTGTATTGTTGTTATATGTTAAATGCCTGTGTGTGTGTGTGTGTGTGTGTGTGAGACCATTGCTCAAATTCTTCCTGAAAATGGATTGCTTTTTTTAAGCTTATATGTGAGAGTTGGGATTAGGTTTGGCTGCTAATAACAGGAAATTCAATATGGCTATGGTTTACTAAACAAACAATAGCTTATTCTCTCATAAGAGATATGAGATATCCAGGTGAGATATGATAACTTTAAAGAGTCATCCAAAACTCATGATTTTCCTGTCTTTCTGCTCTTCTGACACTTGAGTTGCATCCTCAAGACCAGTTTGTGGTCGAAGATGGCTGCTGGAGCTTCAGCTCTCGTGTCTGATTTGCAGACTAGCAGAAGAAAAGGTAGAAAAGACTTCCTCTGAGCTGTTTTCTCTTTCCTTTATAAATAGTCTTCCCAGAAATCTTTTGCACTTTCACTAATGTCTTACTGTACAGAACTTAGTCACATAGCCACACCCAGCTACAAGGGAGGCTGGGAAATGCAATGTTTTGGTTGAGTTCATTGTCACTTCGGATAAATACCAGTAAAGAAGGGGAGAATGGATATTGATTGGTAGCCATTATCTCTGGCATAGCCTATCTTATTGGCAAGAACAGCCAAGCAAGCACTATATTTTTGGATTAAGAACTTGGGAATATTTTTGTGTAGTAATGACCTTTCTTATTATAAAGAAACTCCTAGTAGAGAAGTTTGAATTACATTGATTTCATTTAATTACCAAACTATTTCTGAGTACAGCCAAGACTTGATCACTCATTCTGGATATCTGGAATTAATTAGATTGGGAGTCTGGTTGCTTTTGCTTAGACATTATTTCTAAGACATTCAACTTTTGAATTTCAGTGGGAATGGATATTCAGAAGCTCTTACCTCCCTAGGCATTTGAACACTAATTCATTGCTTTCTTTATAGGTATATGGCAGTGTATGGGAGAAACTACACCGGGCCTTTGCCATTTGGAGTGGCTTTGGTATGACCCTAACTGGTGTTCACACTTGCGGAGATTACATGTTCAGTGGCCACACAGTCGTTCTAACTATGCTGAATTTCTTTGTCACTGAATGTAAGTATCTATTTAGTGCTCATATACATATTAGGTGACTAACTGCAGAGGAAGCTATGGGAAGGATGTCAAGTTCTATGAAGAATGTGTATGAGAAGCATTGAAAGGAATGTGGTTTTAAAATGTTCTTTCTGTCTTTTTCCCAGATACACCAAGAAGCTGGAATTTCTTGCACACTTTATCCTGGGTTCTCAACCTCTTTGGAATCTTCTTCATTTTGGCTGCCCATGAACATTATTCCATTGACGTGTTTATTGCCTTTTATATCACAACAAGACTCTTTTTATATTACCATACTCTAGCTAATACCAGAGCATATCAGCAGAGTAGGAGAGCAAGAATTTGGTTTCCCATGTTTTCTTTTTTTGAATGTAATGTTAATGGTACAGTACCTAATGAATATTGTTGGCCATTTTCAAAACCAGCAATAATGAAAAGACTAATTGGATGAAGACTATATTTGTTTCATGATTAATTATACGATAGTTGTTGAAAGTGAATAACTTTGCTTTCTCCCCCTAGGTTGTTCCTGGATGCCTTGCTTTTTGGCTTATATATTGACAAAGTAAAGTGTCCTCTTCTGAGCAAGGATGTGATTACAGAAAACAAGAAGGAACAATCAAGAGTCCTTACATGTCTGTTTGAATGGAAAACTTAACTAGATGTCTTTTGCCCCTTCTGTTTAAAAGGCAGAAGTAATATTGTGATTGAAGCCAGGCTGTTACCCCTACCTGTTGAGTATTTGCATATTGAATTTAGCAAATCAACTTAAGCAATTTGCTGGTTTAAAGATTTTGGTTTTTTAATTTCCAGCAGGACTCCAGTCAAGAAATAATATTTTTTGAAATTCCTTATTATCTTCAAAGGAAAAAGCCCTATCAAGTGAATAGTACTTGTTCTTTGAATTAATCTCTGTGTCTTTTTAACAATGCAACTCTGGAAAGTAATCGGTTTTACTAACATAATTTTTGCCTTCTGACATCTTTAAGAAAAGTATATGGAACATACCAGGATGCCTGAAACAAGAAGAGAAAGGGGCTGTACATGAGGTGACAGAGTACGAATATAGTACTGGCTTTTTTCACCAAAGATGCAATGGAAGATGCAGTTCCCATTTTGTTCTGAGGGCTCAGCGTGACCATAAATTCATGGGGGGCAAATGGCTGCATCTATAAATATAAAATTGGCTGAATTTTAGTGATGGGATAACTTTGTGCTGTAGCTGTTAGATGACAGCCCAATTTTATGCTTTTTAATGATGTTATTTGTTATTTAATAAGAAAAACAGTGGAGTGTTTTACCAGATGTTAGATAAAGTTCTTATGTCCTTAACTGCGGAGATATGCATGCAAAAAAAATTTTTTTTTGAAAAGAAATTTATAGCAGTTTGCAGGCATAGTATAACTTTTTGATTTTTGAAATTTCTCATTCTTGGCCATCAGAAGTAAACAGTCACAGACATATTTAGATATAAAAAGGTCTTGTTGTTTTTTAATTTTAAATACAATTGTGTGCATACATTCTTTCTATTTAGTCTTAATTTGGCAGTCAGGAAGTGATATAACTTAGTTGCTATGTACAACACTAGAAACTTGGTACCTCAAGTAATTTGATCTCTGATAGTATCTGTCACTTCACTTCTAATGGTTTTACAGAGTAGTTATAACAGTGGGATAGTTGTGGAATTGGAATTTGAAACCCAAATGATGAGCTTAGCCACTTAGAATATTAATTGTATGGTTTTTACATTCCATAAGGAGTTAGAAAAGGTGCTGGCATATTGAGGTCTAAAATTAGGCCACTTAGCAGGAGCCTGCTCCTTATGTGAGTGAAATATTTTATTTTTGCACTTTGAGTTATATTGCCACCCTTGTATAAGCTGCAGAGGACCCTAAATGGATTGGGCAGGAAAGGAATATTATGCAAACAAGTTTTAGCCAGCGCTGAATGACCCCCAGTTGGAGTCTCTCTGAACATTATTTTTTAATTTCTCCCCTGAGAAATGGCACAAGGCAATTCATTTTATTATGCTTTTAAATCTCATACTTCAGAATCTTATAATATCTTAAATTGTTGATTCTATTACATGCTAGGGACAAAAATGCCAATATTTCATCTAAGGACATTGCGTGATTATAAAGGAGTTTGACCCTTGATGTTAAAAGATCTGGCACTGTCATTTTTTTCCCAAATGACAGTACAGGACCTAATTTAGCTAGGGAGGTCACTAATGTTGGCTTTTGGAAGAATGTTTGGAAAAATATCTCCGGCAACGTTAAGTCAAGAATGTTAAGAAGCTGTTTAATGCTAAAATTTCCTACCATCAATCTTTTTCCTTCATATGGATTCTGTTCTATAGAACAAAATAGAAAAAAATAAACTGCAACTAATTTGCAAAGCTGTTGACATTTAGAGTGCCTAACAGCAAACTGCAGTGAGGATTATAAAATAACTTCAGAGCCTTGCACTTGTCAAATCTGTTTTGAGGAAAAGATAAGCTAGACTTATAGTTTATTGTTATAACTATTGCAAGGCAGTGTTTACATAAATCAATCATCTCCAAGTCTCTTTCTTGGAAAACTTTGAGACAATTTTTTTTTTGTTTTTTTTCTTAATAAGAAACTTATATGTCAGTTGTTTTCTGTTTGTACAGAAATTTCCAGATTTTTGTCTTTGTATTTTTTTTTCTTGTTAAAATCTAGACTATAATGAAGGTACTATTTACATTTACACGTTGGGTGTGAATGTGGCTAGGTAGAGAAGGTATATGACTTAGATCTACATATATTTCGACCTTGTACTAGGTTCTACAGTTGCAGACTTGTGAGAGAGAGGCTTATATCATTAAACACTGAGACCTCAGTATAGAAAGAGCCAAGAAAGTTTTTGGTTTGGGATACAAAATGAAGGTTATATTAAAAGTCTTTGATGCATTTTCTAGGTTCCTGGGGACAACGTGGCTGGCTTCCCTCCCTTTCCTTTCCTCTTTTTCTCTCCCTCCTCCCCTGCACCCCACCCTCTTTCATTCTTTTAAGTCCATGCTGGGCAGTGTTATTGAAGGGCAATTGAAATTTGTTGGGGAGTAGGATGTTTTGAAGAGGGGAAGTTTGCTGTTATCACCAAGCAATTTGGGAGGAACTTTTTTGCAATGCTGCAGAATTCTTAACATGCCTATCCTCTTCATAGTTCTCTGTGGCCAGAATTGCTTGGGTAAAAATACAACTTCCATATGTTGGGTCAGTTTATTATTAGTATCCTTTTAAATCAGCAATGAGCTTAGCCTTAGAATCAGTCAGTTATTAAATGTGGACTGTTGACACGAAAAACCCACTGACTGAGAGACCTGTTCATTGTGTAACTGATGCTGCAAGTGGCATTCTTCTCTACCCTGTACCTGCCTGATTGTTGTTACTTAGAATCCCTAAAATCTGTAATTCATAAATGGAGAACAGAGGAGCGAAATGCTGTCATAGCTGGTATGAAAAGGTCTGTTTTAGGGACATCTCTTTGGAAAGTGTTGTTTATACATTCAAAGATTATATTCGTAACATTAACCTGCTTTGACTGGATCCAACAAAAGGCAATCTCATCATTAGTTTCATAGTATACTTTTTTAAGGATTCTAATTCCAAAATGCTTGAGAAAATTAACTATATTCTTGTTTTAAATACTTGGATCTAATAAATTTAATTCTTTGATAGTCTTTTTGTAGACTTAGGTTATTCCTTACCAAAAGTAATCTTAGTAATAATTCTTTAAGGTATTCAGGCATGTGAGACAAGAAGGCTCCCTTAAGAATAGATCAATAGCTTTCTTAAACAGTATTGGTTTCATTGAGATAGCTACAAAGCCAGCAAAGCATGTCAGTTTTAATGCCAACTTTACTTGGCACTTAAGACAGCTTGCATTTGTAAAACGTTTAGTCCAAATTACCCCTCTACCTCTATAGAGGAGAACTGTTGGTAACACCAAAAGTTAGGCTGCTTCAGATGACCAGTGAAAAAGGAAAGAGGTTGAGAGTCTTTTTCTCTCTCTGTCTTTGAATGTCTTTGAATAACTGAAATTACTATGGAAGTAGGTTTTGGTCCCCTTCTTGCCTACCCCTCACCACCCAGCAAATGCCACCAATTTCAAGTAACTAAAATGTGGCTTATTACTTTGCATCAAGTTCAATACAAAATGCCTGTGAAATCTGTAAGCCATAATTCAGCTACCAATAAAGTTGATTTTTAGACTATGTTCCACCCTAAATTAACCAAAGGACTTTTTACTCAGAGTACTCCATGTTTAAGCATAAAGAAGCTTTGTGCCTGATAAGGAGAGAGAAGGAGGGCTCTGTTAATTTCATTGTTATTTCAGTCTGTTTCAATCTGAACTACTGGGTTGTCTGAATATAACCAAGAAATGTTATCAGTAATGTCCTCTTAAAAATGCTTAATTTTAATAATTTTTTATTCAGAGAATCTATGGATTATTAGGACAGTTGAAGTATTTCTGATATGAAACAAAGTAAGTGGAAACTAGTACATAATGAGGGAAGCAAAATTAGTTTGAATTAAAGTGGGCATGTTTTATTTCAAGAATTCTACCTAATTGTGTCCCTCTCTACAGAGAAACTAGTATTACTTGAAGATGTGAAAGTTCCTGTAGTAGCCATACCTTAAAGCACAGTATTGTATATAAGTAAATATCTTGATTCTAAATTAAATTCAGATTTAACTAATATATATTATTTTATATCTTTGTTGTATTAAAATGTTTTAAAACACTAAAAATAAAACATTTGAAAGTTTAATTACTGTCTCATTTAATTGTCTCTGTATTGTTAATGCAACAGGCCTATTTTTTTATACAGTGAATTTTTATTTTTGCAAATGACTGGGCCGTGCAACTTTAAATCCTAATATAGTGTCTGGTCCCTGGCATTTTCTCATTCTTAGTTGTCCATTAGATAAGACATTTTCCCTTTCCCTTTTTCTATAAACTAGAAAAGAAAAATGATCTTCCTGAGGGTATTCGAGGGAGGGAAGGGAAGCAAATAACTACTTATCCCTGGGCACATTGAAGTTTGTGTTTGTTTTATTTAATTTAAATGTAGGTTATGTAGGAAGATGCCATCATTCTATCAGGTCAGCTTTGGACATGATGAACAGAAATAGAAGGGAACCAGTTGTGAGGAGTAGCCCAGTAGCCCAGCATCACAGAGTAGTTGGAACATTAAGCATTGTCACAGGTGCAGGACCATATGAGCTTAATCAGTGACCGACCTTGTCACCGTGATTACTACTAACTGTAGCCTCTCTCGTGCTGGTGCCAGCTGATCTCCTCTCAGGAACTCTGGAAAAGAATAATACAGAACAGACCTAGGGGCTGTTGGTGGAATAGAAAATACACTGGATTTAGACTCTGAGGACCCAGGTAAGAGTTACGTCTCTGCGACTGAGTAAATTGGGACATTTCTTCCAGACCCACTTAGTCTTGTGTGTAAAACGAAGGGGGGTGGGAATGCCTGTATCATAGGTTGTATTAAGGGCCAAATTATGGAAGTACCATGGCCTTACTGGCCCACTACCTGGTATATACTGCTGAAATAGTTGAATTTAGGTCAATAAAATAGGGCCTGTGCCCCCAGGGAATTAATAATCTAGCTGGGAAGATGACATAAAAAAGGTAGCTAACAACATTCAGTGGTGGAATAGACCAGCAGTTTTAAAACTGTTTGGCTGAACATCTTCAGGGGTAGGGAAAGGGAGCTGGAGCTGGTATCATTTTCTTCCAGAGTAGATGTTTTACATATTTGGCTTTCCCTTTGGGGGGGAAAAATGGCTGAGAATAGGGGAAGGAAATGTTTGGAACCAACTGAGGCAATAGATAAATTTATTGTCTTCACTTCATGATAGGTTGAGAGAGGAAAGGCTCCTTGGTGACAGAGGGTCCAAGAAGAATTCACTAAGTATGTGAAACTTGAACTGAGCCCTCCCTGAAGGGTACTTCATGAGGACCTGATGAAAAGCTTAGAGAGTTCTAATTGTTATGCAAAAATCTGGATATATTGTGTATGTATTAGGGAATTGTTGATGTGGTATGCGTTTGATTTTGTAAATGGAGCACTGGGAATGCCTGTTGTCATGGTCTAAGTTGTGGAGATGAGTAGAAGTAGTTCTGTAAAACAGGAATTGGTACAGGACAGAAGTGTTAAGTCAAAAAGAGAGAGGTAAGATAATGGAAAGTACACAAAAGATCACTGGAGATGAAAGGAAAACTAGAGACCCCAAGATAGTAGGTCAAGGAACAGGGACTAGGCCTAACTTGTAGGAGGCTTTTGCCCCAAGTCAAAGAAAATCAAGACAACAAATAAATGAGCTGCCAATTGCTACTGGATGGTGTAATATGAAGTTAGGATATATAACACACCTTGTATCCAGAATTGTCTCATGGTTGTGCAGCTAACCCACCTGTTAGAGCGCTGGGCTGCCAGACAAGAAATGGGGTGGGAGCCGGCTCTGGTGGACACTTGAGGAGGATGCTGGGGTTGTATAATGCCTCAGAGGAGCTCAATTATCACCCTCAGCTCTAACTGGACAAGACCAGAGGAAAGCTCCAAGGCCTCTGCTAGAGTAGCATGATATTTAAATACCATATGTTCTCAACTGACAGGGCTCCCTACGAGAGCCAGAAATACAAAACCACCATGACCTGTTCGTATTCCAGCCCTAAGAGCCCTGGATCCCACTCTTAAGAGAATACCTGTACCTAATGGTTTTTTGATACAGGCTTATCAGCAGCCTTCATCAATAAGATGTCAAAGTACATGAAATTTTATCCTATTTTTCCACAAAGACTGATTTTGGAGGCTTAGCTGGACAGCATTTTGGCAATAGTGATGTAATTTGAGGGACTTCAACATGGTTGAAATCTTACAGGCAGAAATTTGATAAGCCTAACTATCCAGGCAAGAGTAAATTTTCTTCACTTTTGCTTCCACAGTGGTGCCTGCAAGTCTTACTATCTTTTTAAAAATTTATTAATTTTAAGTAAATAATTTATGAACATGATAACAAACTATATATACTGAAAACTCTTCTGCCCTACCCTTGTGCCCCAGCCTTAGTTCTCCTTCCAAGAGGCAACCATTTTAACCAGTTTGTTTTTCCAGAGGTATTCTATGCATATGCAAACAAATATGAAATTTTAAATTTTTTACATATTTTGCACAAATTGTAGCATGCGCACGCGCGCGCGCGCACACACACGGTTTTGCTTCCTCTCCAACAGCATGCCTTAGTTGAATAAGTTGGGTGTATTGCTCATTGCAGTGTGGGAGAACACATGCCGTGGGAATTACAGGGCATCTCATTTGAAAGATGTTGGAAAAGACATTATAATTTGGGTTTAGATTAGGTGGTTTGGGGGGAAATTTTTAAAGAAATGTGAACTTGCTCTGGAATGGATGTTTTCAGAATGCTGGGGCAATTTCATGATTGGGTATCTTAATCTTAGCAATAAGGCAGGAGGAATGAATTAAGGCTAACGTTATAATTGGTAAAGAAAAAGCAGTTACTCATATTAGCCAGGATAGAGGCATATTTGGTCATTTTGCGGTTTCAGTAATGTTCATGTTTTTGTCTGTGTTCAGAAATTATTACTGTGAGCAGGGTGGAGAGAGGAGACAAGGGTACAGGGGGGATAAATTGTGATGGAAGGACACTTGGGGTGGTGAACACATAATACAATATACAGATGATATAGAATTATATACCTGAAACCTATATAATTTTATTAACCAATGTCATCCCAATAAATTCCATTTTAAAAAACTTATAAAAAAAAGAAATTCCTACTGAGTAGTCTTGTTTTTTTGTGTTGTTCTATCATAGTCACGAATCTTCTTGTCTGCTCTTGGTGTTCTGTGTATTTTATGTTCAACAGAAAAAGAGTAAGGCCTCACTGTGAGTGCCAGGCCTGCCTCTAACAACACCAAATGATGGTCCCAGGCCAGCTCTCTGATGTCGAGATCTGCTCTTCTCTTTCTCCCGCTATACATCTATCTACACGTATATATATATATTAGTGCCCTCTCCATACAAGTATGTAAAGAATAATATTTGCTTCATTCTTTTCAATGACAGCATGATATTCCATTGCTACTCATTCCTTGAAATTTGGTCATTTAGATTGTTTACTATTCAAACAATGCTTCAATAAATATAACACGTTACTTTGCATGTGTGCAAGTTTATCTGTAGAACAAATTGATAAAAGTGAAGTTGTTGGGTCCAAGGCTCTGTGCGTTTAAAATTTTGCTTGATATTGTCAGATTGACTTCAATAGAAGTTGTATCAATTTATTCTTTCACTAGCAATGTATGAGTTTTCCTGTTAATCCACTCCATTGCCACCATAATGTATCACTGAATTTTCTTATTTTTGCCAATCTGATAGGTTTTTAGATAATATCTTAATTCCCTTTCTACATAAGCTGCAGAAATTTTTTTTTATCCTCATCCAAGGACATGCTTATTGACTTTAAAGAGAGGGGAAAGGCGGGAGAGAGGCAAGGAGAGAAAAATCAACTGGTTGCCTCTTGTTCATGCCCCACCAAGGACTAAACCTGCAAACTAGTTATATGCCCTGACCGGGAGTTGAACCTGGGACCTTTCAATTTACCCAATGATGCGCCAACCAAGAGAGCCACACTGGCCTTGGCAAGTAATTTTTTTTTTAAATCTTTGTACGTTTTTTATTTTTTATTCTCACCCAAGGACATGCCCAGTGACTTTAGAGAGGAAGGAAGGGAGGGAGGGAGAGAAACATCTATGTGAGAGAGAAATATTGATCACATCTTTTACATGTCCACCTGGGGACTGAACCCAGAACCCAGGCACACACCCTGACTGAGAATTGAACCTGCAACCTTGTGGTCTATAAGACAACGCTCCAACCAGCAATTATTTTTAAATAGAAGGAATGGTGACAACTTAATTGGTATGCAAATCTTTCTGGAGGTCTTAAATGAATTGACTATATCATATATTTTGTTAAAAACACATATGGCTAAAATGTTGAATGAGAAAAGGAAGATAATTTAACAGATCAAGGAAGGTATCTTCCATTTTATTTGTGGCATAATCTTTAACCTGGCCATCGCTTGCCATTGGAGAATAGTGTTTTTTTCTAACTGTCTTCCCAGAGGATTTGAAGGAAGCTAAGTTCTGCCTAGTTTAGGGGAGAGTCTAGAGAACTCAGTTGCTCTCACTGTTTAAAATTCTGCAAAAGTTGTTAATACCTGTCTGCCACCAGTAGCTACTTTGACTCTGCCCTCACCTATGAGACATTCTAAGGACCCAAATTTACTTGTCCCAGATACAGGGCTCCATTGTAGATGCATAGGACTTGAGGTTTGAAAGATGTTTTGAAAGACTGGTTAGCATGAAGGACCATCTTCACTTGTAATCAGGCCTGAAGGTACTGCAACACAAAAATAAGCATATACCCCTCTCTACCAATCAATATGTGTAAGTAACACAGACTTGCCCCAACTTTCTGAAAATACCCAATCCAGAATAGCACCCCATTTCCCTCTTTTCTTGAACCCTCTGTAAAAATCCCCTAACACAAGCCCAAATCCTCTTCAAGCCCATTTTAACACCCTCTTACTTGAGATTTCCCCACTCCTCTCCTTGGTGTTTA